AATTACTCCAAAAGTAATCGATTACAAGTAATTTGATTACTTGTAATGCGTACGGTGCAAGTCTGGGTAAATGTAACTGTAACTTCACTATTCTTTTATGAAAGTAACTATAACTCTAACGAATTACTTTTAAAAGTAACTTACCCAAGACTGCCTTTAGATTCGTCCCCTTCCCTCGTAGCCTCGGGTGCGTCTGGATCTAAGCTGAAACGAAGTCGAGAAAAATATTTGGTTTCTTTTTGTAGGGGACCTTAAAACATGCTGAATACTTGCCCAGACCTACATCTGTTCTCCAAATTTTTCTTCTAAACCTTGTGGAAATTTATTTTTAAACGCCTTGAAGATATTTTGTTACATATTCTGTATTAATAAAATCCTTTTTAATTCGAAAGAGGTAAATGTATGGTGTCGACTTTATAATCTAAAAAAAATATTACTACAAAATATTAAAAATCGCTTTTAACGCTTGGTATATTTTTGCAAAACCCTTGGCTACCTTACATTAGTCACAAAACCTTGCTTCTTGAGCTGAGAAAATATTGTGTTCGCGGCATAAAACTCATCCTTTTGAACACTTACTTAAATGACTGCCAGTAGTGTGTAAATATTGACGGTCAATATTTCGCGTTTTAATGTTGTATGAGGTTTTCTACAAGACAGTATTCATGTGCCTTTTTATTTATTGTTTATATTATGATAATGTAAATCTTGATAGTCATAGTAAGTTGATAATTTATGCAGGCGACAAGCCTATGCTTCTCTGGCGGCGATGCTGAGTTACACATTAGAATGGCAAACATGGTCTTAAATATATTTGTGATGGGGTCAGAAGCCAACGGACTAATAGTTACCCCATCAATATAAACAAAGTATAATGAGACAACTAAAAAAAGGGGCGTATTTTTCACGTTCTATAAAAATCGAAACGACGCAAATTTTATGAGTGCATTAAAATAAAACGGATATAGATATCATATTCTTAGCACATGTCATAAAATTTATATATTTAGTATTTTATTAAAAGTTCTCATGTAGTTGGCGTAGTTTTGAGTTGCCGCAACTCCTTGCAACTAAATAATCAAATGAATATTTTTATCCCCTGTCTAACTTTCACTTAAACTATTGTCATCTGGACTAGGCAACGACTACAAGAACAAACTAAAAAAAAAGTAATATACTTAAACATATATATTGCGTTATAGTGCATATGGTTTTCGTTCAAAATGTTTATTCTCTAGATGGGAAGTAATTCGGATCGAAAGAATTGAACAATTTTGTCTACTTCATTCCATTCGTTTTCCATATGCAGCTTTTATAGTTTTCTTGTATTCGACTTCCGAGACAATTAAATACGAGAGCATCGTGAATACTCATCGTCCGGGAAAATGTCTGGTTCCTCGATACCGCACGAATTAATGACCAAAACCCTACCAACTCAACCTCCTGTCGTACTTTAAATAGCTTGTCTTTTTTTTTTTTTTTTAGAGGCGGATGCATTTATAATGTCGAGCCCAATTCACGCTGAAAGTTCATCTTGGCTGGTTAATATTTTGAACGTATATTTCTGTATTAATGTCTTGATATATTGTTTTAATGTTGTTTCATTTTATTGATGGATGATGTGTACGTACATCGTTTGTAGCTTTTGTAGAGTGCTTTTGAAGTTGCTGCCCATGTAACGCGGTTCCTGCAGAACCCATCGAGCTGCTTTTTAAGATCGTTTTGTTAGGAAGACCTTTCCAGTGTACGTCTGCAAAAAGATATTTTGGAACTTGGATCCTGCGGTTCGGGATACACCCTAATCATCTTTTGGACTATCGAACGGTGGGCTACAGGTGGCACCACAGATCTCAGGTCTTAAAATGCATGTCCTTGCGTCCTAAATATTGCGTTATTTCCTTTTTTTTTTATAGATTCGCGTAAGGAGGGAGAAAGGCGGCTACATTTTGTGACGTCCGTGCTTCATCCCGTCGGTATTTGGTTATAAATATTTTTGTAGTTTAGTTTTTTTTCTTCAAATTACCCATCATAAATTAAACTGTGGTACGTAATGCATTATCGCCAATATCGTTCTGAAATAATGGATTGGAGGCTCACTGCTCATATTAAGAAGGCTGAAATCAATAAAAAGTGGAGATTTGAATTATATTTTTAATTAAAAGGGTCGTGAAACGTTTTTTCGAACATGCTGCGCTGTGTGCTTATTTGGATTACCGATCCTCTATTATGTCATCCACGCGCATTCGTGTTATCGTTCGAATATATCTATCAGCGTAAAACGACAATTTCGGTTTCCCGGAGACCTTCCATCTCAGTTCTACGACTACGTCACATCAAGAAAGTCAATCGGGAAATTTTGTTTCCTGATGTCACGCGTACAAGTCAAAAGCTTCCACTGCAGATACTTTCCTCGGATGCAAGATATCCGATCGGTCGAACTTCCCCGAGCTTCAGCGTAGCTTAATCGGGCGCAGCCGACTTCGGCTTTGTGTCTTATGTGGACACTCCCCTCCGGTGAGTACGAGACCAGTCGCCATCCGACGGCGACACGGACGGCGAAGACGGGGCGAGCTCTCTACAGCGAGGTTCGACAAGAAGTCCACGTTTCGTGTCCAGGCCGATTCTTCGCCGCACTTCGATGATCATGTCGTAGTCTCTTGTTGGAAGGTGATCGGAACAGACGTAACCCTGGCTCCTGCCAATGTCGTCCGGGCCATCGGGGTCAATGACTCGAAGCCAGGCCGCTCTTCGCCGTAGATCGTCCGGCAACTTTTGAAACCGAATGTCGTTAGCTCTATCGTACTTTCTGCTGCGCCGTCTCACAAGGCACGCGGTCCGCATGGCGAGTGCTGGAGTGCGCACATAACACATGCCAACGACGCCGAGCACACACAAACTAAACCTTCCGCACACAGAAAATGCGCAGCGACTAGCAGACGACAGGAGCCAACGTTGCTTTGGTTGCCGAATGACGGAAATCTCAAATGTGTGTGAAAATGACACTTACCAGCAACCACGTGCACTCTAAAAAATGTTTGTGCGTCTACTTTCACGCAGAACACTCGGAGAGCCAATCATCGCAACTTACAGAGGCAGCTCAGCGAATGACGAGGCGGAAACATCTGTTTAGACCAAAAAACGCAGTCTGAGTTGTGACATAAAGCAATGCAAAACGTCATGCTTGCATTGCTTAATGTCACAACTCAGACTGCGTTTTTTGGTCTAAACATATGTTTCCGCATCATCATTCGCCGAGCTGCCTTCGTAAATTGCGGTGATTGGCTTTCCGAGTGTTGTGCGGGAAAGCAGACTCACGTGATTTTTTAGAGTGTGTTATAGCGCCACCGGATTAGTTTTAGAACGCTAGTAAATTCTTCACTATTTTAATAACTTACTTTTTGTTATAGGAACACAACATAAAGTTCCATAACTCCTCAACCTTGCACAGGTGTTTTTGTGACGTTTTGTTGCTCAAGCTGGGTCCCTAATCTTGACACTTTGCGAAAAGGTCGGAGAGGAATCTGGCAGCCGTGATTGGCCAACGCCACGCTTGACCTTGCCGCCGGCCCAATCAGAGCCGTCAGATTTCTCGCCGACTTTTTCGCCAAGTGCCCAGAGAAGGGTCCCTGGTCAACAGTGTACCATAGTCGTTTCAGGCACCCCGAGAAACACGGTTTTCAAGCACAGTTTATAAAATGTGGACGCAATATTTCGCCGCGATATTTGTTACTTAGGATCTTCGAACTTTCGTCAATTTTCTAAAATTAAGTCTGGGCATATCTAGTTTCTTTGCAAAGACCGCTATAAGCATCACACAAAAGATTTCCGTCCGGGCTCGTAGCTTCATTAAAATTGAAAAAAAGAAAAATTGCAAGCGGCAACACAAATTGGGCTTCAATTGCCAGCGGCAGCTATTGTTCTCTTCAAAGATGTGAATCGGGAACTTTAAAATTTGATTTTAGTAAACGTGCTTGATGATAGTTGCTTTAGCCCATTGGAATTCAGTAGAACACTTGTAGGAGATGTGCTGTCCGACTAGAGAGCTTCTAGCCTTGTTCGATCAGATGGACTCTAGCATAAGTCTAAAACAATTAACAGCTGTATGCTCTTGACAAACTGTAATTCTAAAAATAAAAAAAAAACATACAAAGTCACTTGTAACGTGTAGGAATGCAAAAGCATTGGAATACTTTGCGCATTCTTTCAAACTGCGCGCCGTGCTGAGCCCGGCCAGGCGACCTCTGCGTAGGCTGCCTGGGCGGGCTCTGCGGCCGGCCGCTCTGCAGAGCCTGGTCACCCTCTCCCTCTTACTGGCGGCCGGACTGCTGCGCCTTGGAGAGGGCTTCTCTGTGGAGTGGCGTTCCTTGGAGCTATGCCGCGCGCCAGCCAATGGGAGCTTTCCATCAGCCCGCTGCTACAGACTACGGGCTTCGCTCCATAGGACAGGGGAATTTAGGTGCCGTTTGGCACGGCTTCAAAAGCTGATAACGCTGGTTCGCTCCATGCGACCCCCAGTTAATGCTTTCGCATAAAAAAAATCTTTGGAGCGATACGGCCGTTTACCGTCGGGTTATGTCAATGGACACTGCCGTGTTTTAAGAGAAAGCATTCCTTTTTCACAAACTAAAAAGGGTTTGTTCACTGTTCACTAATTCTTAAACATCCTTTCACTCCTAGAGGGTCATTTTCCTTTTTCCTTTTCAAGAGAATTGATCGGCTAAGGTTCAAACACCCAAACCTTAGAAAGAAGATTTTAAGAACAGACGGTAGTTTTAAATGAAAATCACGAGTTCAGTTTTACGCAGAAGGTTTGTTATGTATTTTCATTTTGAGAGGTTCCTGAGTACTTTATTCTATTCATATATAATACTCAAAGAATAGATGCAAAACGACTGATAAAATATTTGCAAAAAAAAATCACACCTAATAATGTTTTAAAACTTATTTAGGGGAAGTAAAACATTTGAAAAAGTTTCACTTTTTTATTTTTTGATTTCCAGGTACTCGCTGCAGTTCACGGGAAGATGTTCAACTTCCAGTTTACGAGTGCAGAAAGCGTCATATTTACTGACTCACCCGCAACCTGCTTGACAATTCAGTTTTTATATTCGGAAGAAGAAGCAAATAGTTTTGCTGAAGTCTGGATTTATTATAAAACGAACGACGGAAAAAGGTAGGCTTAATGTTTGTCTTTCTTTGCATCTTACCAATACCTGTTTCTAAACGCATAATGTTTAACTTTTAGGCATGTTGACACAATACCGCTCAGGTTTACAGCGGAAACTGGAAAAGAACTAAGTTTTGAGATTCTGGAATCATCCAAAAATGGTATGAATCAAAAGGTTTATTTTTTAAGCATGCGGATGGGTTCGCAGATATATGCATCTTTAGTATCCGGTCAACAGTCGAACCAAAATATATTTCTGATATTGTTTCACGGAGACTAAATATTAGAATTGCCCAAATATTATACTAGGGAAAAGCCGCGATCCACTTTAAAACCAACATTAATAATTCGATCACCAGCTTCTCAGCGGGCATTCAGCGGTTTATCTCTTTGTCAAGCAACCTTGTGTTCGACGTCATGCCTGTACTCGAGGAAGTTACGTTTATAGACCCGTTTTTAAGAGCGCCGCCATCTTGAGAATTTCAGCGCCGACGACACCGTCTAGCGGCTTAAAGCTTGAAATATCGGATTGTTCCGGCAGCACAGCTATCTCGGGTAGGTAACGGTTTGGGTATGAGGGGAATAACGGTTAAAAGTTGAGCTTGTTGGTACATGGCGAACACAATCCCTGGATAAGGGGAGCAAGAGGGACAAAGGACAAACACAAATCTCCAAACTTAGCTAGGTGACTGGTGCGCAACCGAAAAATTGCGCCTCATCCGGGTATCGAACCCGGGACCTCTCCATTACAGGTGGAGGGGAGGTCCCGGATTCGATACCCGGACCAGACGGATTTGTTCGGTTGCGCACCAGTCACCTAGCTACGTTTGGAGATTTGTGTTTGTCCTTTGTCCCTCTTGCTCCCCTTCTCCAGGTATTATTTTCGTCATTCTTGTCCAGCTCGCTTGCACCTTTGCATTTAATTGCATTATAATTGTTGGTACATACTTGTAAATATATCAGCTCGAACTTTAGAATAATACTTGAACACTAAGAAAGAAAGGACATGAGAGGACAAACAGCTGACTGGACCCACAGACTCTTAGTCATTCTCTGGAACCACATACTCCCAGTTTTAATGTGCTCTACTTTGGTCTATGAATGAAGATGCCAACGCGCAGGGAAGAAGTTTACACTAAAACATCGTTGGCAGTCAGCTGTTAGTCGTCTCATGTCCTTTCGTTCTTCGTGTTCAAGTATTATTCTAAACTTCAATCTGGCATATCTACACGTATGGGGCGAAATTGGCTGGACTTGGCTACAATAGCTTGGCCGGAACTTGGCCGGTTAAATCGAGGGAGGCTAATGACGGACCATGATCATGCCGCCTCGAAAGAACGAGGACGACGACGGTGGGGTGCTTTAATTGAGTTTCCGTAACAAAGGTATATATTAGCAGTTTAATGTAGTCTATACAGGTATTCTCTCGGCGTTTAATAGCCGCACCCTGAGTAATGGCACGTAAACATTTCATACCCTCCGCATTCCATCAAGCAATATCATATTTTAATGTGACAACTTAATTGTAGCACCTACGCCGGGTTGGAATCAGTTTCCTTGCCGTAGACAAAGTAGTCGTCAGCATAAACGTGACAATGAGTCTGATACAAAGCCCTCGCGATTCACGCTCGCGATCGACAGACATCATAAATAAGGATCCTTGTGGAACGTGTGAAGCTCAACAACATTGCAGCCACACTCGCGCTGATACTTCTTGTGCTCAGCGCACATTTTCCGCGGTTGCTCTTATTCTTATCAACCAATTTTGTGCACACAATTACGACGCAGTAATAGGCAGGCAACCGTAGATTTCGGGAATTGTAACAGAAAAAAAAGTGAGGGGGGGGGGGGGGCAACACTCTGAACTAACTCACACACGACGTCCGTTTTAGAGCGCAGCTCTTAGGGACCCGTTCCCGGCTTGAGCGGCGTCGGCGTCGGCGTCGGCGTAACCAAGGTCATCCCAAGGTCACGTGACCCCTCCAGGTCACGTGATCCCTCCCAAGGTCATCTCAAGGTCACGTGACCCCACGTGACCCCCAAGGTCACGTGACCCATCCCAAGGTCATCTCAAGGTCACGTGACTCCAAGGACCCCACGTGACCCTTTGAAGGTCACGTGACCCCCAAGGTCACGTGAACCCCAAGTCACGTGACCCCTCTGAGGTCACGTGACCCATCCCAAGGTCATCTCAAGGTCACGTGACTCCAAGATGACCCCACGTGACCCTTTGAAGGTCACGTGACCCCCAAGATCACGTGACCCCCAAGTCACGTGACCCCTCCGAGGTCACGTGACCCCTCCGAGGTCACGTGACCCCTCTGAGGTCACGTGGTCTCCTCCCCAAGGTCACGTGACCCCTCCCAAGGTCATCTCAAGGTCACGTGACCCCAAGGTGACCCCCACGTGAACCCCAGGTCACGTGACCCTTCCGAGGTCACGTGACCCCTCTGAGGTCACGTGACCCCCAAGGTCACTTGGGGGTCACGGGGGTGCCGTGACCTTGAGGTGACCCCCATGTGACACCCAAGGTCACGTGACCCCCAGGTCACGCCTCCCCGAGGTCACGTGACCCCCTCCCCGAAGTCACGTGACACCCCCCCCCCCCGAGGTCACGTGACCCCCCCCCCCGGAGCATATTAAAGAATGAGGGGAGGAGGAGGAGAAGGAGGAGGGGTCTACCCTCCCCTCAGTACCCTTCACTCCTCCTCCTCAAGAGCTGCGCTCCAATTCGGCGTTACAGGGAGTTGTAAACGGCTTTCACTTTTTTTAAGCCTCTTTTCCTATACCCTTAGCGGTTGCATATTCTGCGTCAGTGGGCTATCCGAAAATTCACCGGGACGGGGGTATGTCGGTTATGCGCTGGTATGAGGTTATGCAAAAAAAGGTCTATACGGACACTTCTTTCGCCGTGTTTTTCTGCTTCGTCTTCAGCCGCCTTAGAGGACAATTTCTGCTTGTTATGTTAAGTTTTAGCAACCGTCTTTTGTAAGTGCTCCCCAGCGATAGCGCAGAAAGATTATTGACTCCCTGCTCGCTCAATCCTGTCGTGTTGCCTAAGTGCAAAGAGCCCAAGGGACTGGAACCGTTGTGCAATGCCGAGCACGTCTTGCTGTGCTGCGGGTTGCGTGCGTTTTTGTATGTTCCCCAAATACTCGAAATTCAGGGAAGTGTGGGTCGACGCAATTCGTCGAAGAGATATCGAGAGGCCGTGGACTCTTAAATCTTCACTTGCGGCCATAGTTGAGTTCGTTTCTGCTCTGTGCGAGCTTACGATAAGCTTCCACAATCCTTCTGTAATGTGGATTGCACAACATCACGATTGCAGTTCATCTCTGAAGATAAGTGGCGGCTTGTTCTGAGCCTCCGATCCAAACACTTCGGTTAGTGAATACCACATTTTTATCACGGCGAGCTCGCGGCCGGAAATGTGTATTAATACGTGCTACAGATGTTTAACACCAGGGGAGTCCTAAAAGTCATTGGGCTGACACAAGAGGACTGCGAGCATAGACAGGAAACTTTATTATCGCGATGGCACAAGCGCACAATACGGTTTTCCTGTGGTGACCGCCAACAGGTGGCAATCCTCGCATTCGAAATAAAACGAAGAATGTGAAGGCACTTTCGGTCAGTGGATATTTGACTCGTAAAGGCCTAACTCCGGTAGGTATTCATAAAGACAAGCTGGCGGCGTAGTCACGAGATGTCTAATCTTACAGCACGATAAAAAAATGGGTCGCGAAATTCAATCGAGAGCCTCAAAGACGGCCCCTGCCTTGGCAGCCCTGCTGAAGTGACCGCGCAAGAAAACATTTACCGTGTGCGCGATGAGGTAATGGGAGATCGCAGACTTAAAATACACACCATTGCACAGCTCATAGGCACCTCCAAAACTACGCTTCAGTGCATTTTGAACTAGTATCTTAGCATACAGATGGTGCCCGCTCGATAAGTTTCAAGATTTGCGCTCGCTACACCACATCCAGGGACTATCTCGAGCTGCTCAGGCCAGACCCCGCAGGCTTCCGTGTCTGATTTGTGATTGTGGATGAAACTTAGGTTCATCACTTTCAACCCAACAGCAAAGCCCAGTCTAAACAGTGTATACACCACTCCTCTCCACCACCGAAGAAGTCTCGGTCTGTTCTATCAGTAGGCAAGATGATGGCCACGGTTATTTGGCGACTCGGAAGGCGGGTTGCTCAGTGATTTTCTTCAGAAGGGGCAGTGCATCACTCACTTCGACTTCTACGGAACCCTTAGCCATCGCCTTCGGGCTGACATTATAAAGCCAAACGTCGCGGTTTTCTTTGAAAAGAGAAGCTTTCCTGTTAAAACAATGCCCCCCCCCCCCCCCCCCCCCCAAGCTGTTGCGATGGTTGCCATTCATTTCTGAGGCTTTGCTGTGGTGAACCATGCATGGCATTCACGAGATCTCGCCTCATCAGACTTTCATCTCTTCCCCCAACTGAAAGAAAAACCTTTTCTGGTATTGATGATGTCATTGATGCTAACCCGCTTTGCGGGAGACCATTTCTTTTCAATGGGATTTAGGCATCGCAGCATTTTTGTGCGAAGTGTGCATACCTCAAAAGAGACTATGTCAAAAAGTAACATACGTAAATTCACATCTGCTGCCTTTTTCTTTGTCAAGCCAAGGACATTCGGTACGCACCTCGTATCTAAGAAGCGAAGTAGGAAAGCAGCCATAGCATCTTGCCTGACTGATCGGAACTGCTCTCGCGACTATGCAAGTTGTATGTTTTGCGGTAGCGAGGCACTAACTTTACGACACATGACGGCCATGGCCATGCAGCTGGTCACGGGGGTTTCCATCTTCCATTCATAGGCACTTTGAATTACATCTCCGGTGCTGTAGATTTTTCAACCGATGACGGAATGGTCGTTGGTGACTTTAGCGTGCCTGGCGTTGATTGGAATTCAAACACGATTAGTGCTGCATCAAGTGAGGCACGTGATAGGGCGGATGAAACGCTGGAGTTTGTGAACTTCAATGGGCTTTATCCGCTTAATACTACAACAAACGGGGCTGGAAATACGCTTGACTTTTTCATGTCACCCATGCGATACAAAATGACGGGAACATACCTGGACTAGCTTGATGTGAGCCGAACACCGGAGTGCCTCCAGCCAAATA